CCTGCTGTGTTCATCCAGCTCTACACCTTGTTATCTCAGATTCTCCAGCATCTACAGTTCCTACTATTTCTGAAACCATTCTATATGATGTTTGGAAATGGAGGAATATGCAAGTTCTATGTTTGCTGGCAGAAACAATGTGACTCTGAGACCGTATTTAAAATTTAGTTTGAAATGTCCAGCCAAACGCCTCACAATTGCCAAGGAAACATTTTGCCACAGCTTAGTTAAGTCTTCAACAGTTCCACTAATCTGTTCTCCTCAAAGGTTATCCTGGGATTTTGATTGGTCAGCCATGTTTCCTCCTTTCCATGAGTGCTGAGTCTGAAGGTAGGTCTTTGGCTTGTTGTTTGCTAATGCTTCATCCTGAGCTTTTCATCACTGGTGGTTTGCCATTGTTCCCTACATTTGGTGGGGGGTGTGGTGGCAGGATGAGGATGTAGGTCTTAAGTCAACCTTGGGCAGAACAGGAAATCAAACCCACAATATTTTCGGATTATTCTGAACCTTAACATCTAGCCAACTGAACTAACTAGCTGCCCCTTTTTTTCATATCTTGGGAAAAATTACAAAATTCTGCAGCAACAGACCAATATAAGTTTGTATTTTTTCAAAAGTACTGTTTGTGATGTGGACGAAATAGGAAGGGAATAAATACTATGTTTGCGTGCGAAATCTTGGAATAAGACTTTAAAAGCTTTCTGGGTGCATGTTAATGTAGCTTTGAAACTGTAGGACATGTTTGTGCACTTAGCACAATCTTGAGTTCTTGATGGTAGTCTAGGTTGGAATTTGATGGAAGACTAGAAGCAGGTTGGTTGACTAAAGTTCAGACTGATTGATAGCAATAAAAAGTATCCACCTGTTCATGTATTTTGAAAAAAATAGAAATTGTTTGTCACACAAAAACGTTAGAATTTTCTCCTTGGAAGCAGCTGGGAAGGAGGCAAAAGAGGAAGATGATCAGGTGGGTTGATGTTGGATAGATACCTGTACGTACAAGAATTATGTTCTGGGCAGTAAAGCCCAAGCTTCACCTTGCTACACTGCTGCCAACTGAGGCCCTTAAGTGTTAAATTAACAGCCACTACCACACATTTGACTCTGATCTTGTTAGGGGAGAATAGTGGTAGCTTTCCTGCCTGGTAACATGGAGCAATCTGCCTGGGCTCTCAATCTGCCTCAATCTAAGTTGGTCAGAGAGAGGATATGGTTATTGAAATCCAGCCTGCCTCTGTTGCCTCTAAACCTCTCCTCCCATTTCTCACGATCACTCCCCAAAATGTAACTTAACTTCCCTGCTACTCCTTGGCTTTGGTGTTGCTGTCGGTGAGCAACCTTATCCTCTGTGGCAATGCTGCTGTTTACAGAGGCTAACAGCCTCTGATTGTCTGGTAGCTTCGGGCAAAACAGAACATTATTGTCCCATGAAATGATCCACTGAAAAACCACCAAGAGATTACTTGGATGCCTGATAGGTGCAAAGTCCAGTGGGGCTGAACCTTTCATGGTAGAGCAGGGAGTGTTCTCAGTGTTTTGGCACCTGATACCACACTTGGACAATTCCACCCAGTGTACTTGATCTGAACAATTGCAGTGGAAGATGCAAATTTTAAAAGCATATTCTATGCATAAATGATAATTTTGAGGTGTTCTCCTATGAACTTTGTTGATTAATTAATTATTTTCCACATTAAATATTTACTGCAGAATGCTGTCTATGTGAAAGACGCGATTAAACAGTATTCTATTCAAGAGTTCATGTAGTTATTTACAACAATTAGCTAAACCACAAGCTTTGATTTTTTTTTAAAATGTCACTCATGGGACATGGGTATTGCTGGCTAGGCCACATTTATTGCCCATTGCTCGTTGCCTTGAGAATGTGGTGCTGAGCTGCCTTTTTGAATTGATGTAGTACTTGTGCTGTAGGTAGACCCACAGTACAATGAGGGAGAGAATTACAGGAATTTTACCCAGTGATAGTGCCAGAACAAAGGGATATTGCAGGTGGTGGTGCCCTTGTTCTTCAAGGTGGTAGTAATCATGGGTTTGCTATGTAAAAAAATCTTTGGACAATTTCTGCAGTGAACCTTGCACATAGTACACACTGCTGCTATTGAGCATCAGTCATGGAGTGAGTGAATGTTTATGAATGTGGTGCCAAATCAGTAAGAAATTAGAGCAACCCAGTCCAACACGCAAACCAGCCTTCATCCATTGACTCCATCTATATTTCCTGCTGCCCCAGGAAAGCAGCTAACATAATCAAAGACCTCTCCCAACCCAGTTATACACTCTTTTTCACCCTCTTCCATCAGGCATAAGATACAAAATTTTGAAAATATGTACCAAGAGATTCAAGAACAACTTCTTCCCCATTGTTATCAGACTTTTGAATGGACCTCTCACGTATTAGAGTTGATCTTTCTCTGCACCTTCTGTATAGCTGTAGCCCTATATTTTGCATTCCGTTCTCTTACCCTGATATGCTTATGTAAGGGATGATTTGCCTGGTTACACGCAAAACAGTACTTTTCACTATATCTCAGTAAATGTGACTAATAAATAAAATCAAAGCAGGCTGCTTTGTTCTGGATTGTGTCTAGCTTCTTGAGTGTTGTTGGAGCTGCCTCAACCAGGCAAGTGGGGAGTATTCCATCACAGTCCTGAATTGTGCCTTGTAGATGGTGGAGACTTTGAAATCAGGAGGCGAGTTACTCGCCATTGTATTCCTAGCCTCTGACCAGCTCTTGTAGCCACTGTTTATGTGGTGAGTCCATTTAAGGTCATTGGTAACCCTCAGGTGTTGATAGTGGGGGAATTCAGTGAGGATAATGCCATTGAATATCAAGGGGTAGTGGTTAGATTGTCTCTTACTGGAGATGGTCATTGCCTGGCATTTGTGTGGTATGAATGTTAATTGCCACTTTTCAGCCCAAGTCTAGACATCGTCCAGGTCAAGGACTGCTTCAGCATCTGAAGAGTTGTGAATGGTGCAGAAGATTGTGCACCCATCAGCACCAACCCCACTTCTCACCTTAAGATGGAGAGAAGGTCATTGGTGAAGCAGCTGAAAATCATTGAGCCTAGGATGCTACCCTGAGGTGTCCTGGAGCTGACATGACTAATAACCACAACCATCTTCCTAGCTTGGATTATCTGTTTGAAATCATTAACTTGACTTGAAAGCTATTTCAATTTTATGCCTTATTTTTGTCCTACATCTAGGATCTTTGCAAATTGAAATTAACGGTTGTAACCTTTCAACTATTCACAACTGATGAGAAATAACTAAATCCTTGAATAGCCTTATTAGCAAATAAAATGCAAAATGGTTGTGAGAGAAAGAAGGTAGGTGCCAAGAAGAGAAAGTGATTGAGGACTGTCTATTTTTAACTGGGAATAGCAGAGTTGACAGCCAAAATGGTAAATTTGAGAAAACAGTATCTTTTGGTGAACATCGGTGTGTCAAGATTAAAAATGCTACAATTTCAAATCTCAGCCCTTAGTTTGTTTGTATATTCATAGAATATATTTCTATATTTACAGGTGACATAACATTCGAGGCAGTGAGCTGGAAGGTGGGACTAGTATAGATTTTAGAGATTTTTTTTGTCTTTGTAAACTCGATGGGCTGAAGGGCCTCTTCAGTAATATGATTGTGTGAAACACCATAAATGGATCAATATCCTCTGAGGATCTGATTAATGAAAAGTTCCTTTGTGTGTTATTTCAATCCTCAATTGTTAACATGTTTAAATGATTAAACAAAATAATGATTTATAAGTCTGTATAACATTCAATACAGAACAAGTTAAAACCCTAGTGAATAATAAATAATACTAATTTCTTCAATGAAATACATCTGTCACAATGCAAGCAGTCCAAACTCTCTTAATATATTAAAGTGATAGGAATTGACCCTATCTTCATTGTTTTCTTGCATGTTCATTTCACTTCCTCCTCTCTCTCTCTCTCTTGCTGACAGAAGGATTTTGTTCTTGTTGAGCTCCTGTAGTTGCCACAGCGAGAAGCGCCGGCTCAGCTATCAGATTGCACCACTTTCCATTTTACCTGATTTAGAGATGAGTTCCTCTGCGAAAACATTGAAATCTGTGGATTATGAGATCTTCGGGGAAGTGCAGGGTTGGTATATTGCAGGGCAGACTCCTTTCCTGCAAATTCTCCTGGATTTTATTTCATCTCCTTTTTAATTCTCTGTCTATACCAAGGGGGTGTGTCTGCTGAAAATAACATAGCAAAACTGACTCGAGTTGCAGTAGCCAGCTGCCATCAAAACTGGCAAAAGCCAAAGAAATGCTGATTAATGTAGAAGATCACTGCTCTTTAATCTCTTGCGTTTCACTGACAGTGACTGATAACTATAACTTTGATAATTACAATTTAAAAATTTAGGTGTTAAAGGTTAAATTGCATAGAATTTCAGATTATTTCATTATACGGTGCTGTAATGTATATTTAAAATGTGTTATGTTCACTGTACAGAGTGTTTCATCATTGATTGATTGTTTGTAGAAAAATCAAGTTGTCTAGAATGGTTATAAACAATCCCTAAGACAGCCCAATGATATTGTGAGCAAAGCCAGCTGCACCACATTGAGATTTAAGATGGAGTAGTATAGTTTCCATAGATTAGGGGTAGTTGGAGTCAATTGCTTTGAATTGAAGATGGGGAAGTATGGTGTGAAAGGAGAAAATTAGTGTAGCCACTGTCTATAGTGGCATTGGGGTTGGTTCTCTTGGCCCGTGTGACCTGTGAAATCAACTAACAGGTTTGTTGCTTTCCAATTTTGGAACCAGATCAGTTTCTGGTCAGGTGAGGATTTGAATGCTAGAAATTTGTGTCAGATGCGGGGAGGAACTTCACTAGGATAACTAGAAGGTGGTGAGAGATGTGCTATTTCATTTTGTAGATCAGAGATGTGCTGGATGCCATGCTCCCTGCACCCCTAGGAATTCTTGCAGAGTGTGCCGTGGATGGGCCTTTCTGGCTGGAGAGCTTTGAAAGGCCTGCAGTGCTTCAGCTAAATGTTCTTATTATAACTATCCTGAGTGCTTCCTAGGCCCCACGTCCTTTCCTAAAACTCTCTTTTCTTTTTAAAACCCATACCTTTCAATCAGCTTTAGTCATGTCTCCTGATATGTGCTTTGGTTTGGTGCATACTTTTTGATTCTTCGAGATGTCTGTGACTTACTCCTATGTTAAAGATAATATTTGCACTTGACCTTTTAACGTCAGTTCTAAATAATTTAGAATTGAGTTAGACCTGTAAACAAACAAAAAAATCAATTCATTGTACATGCATTCAAAGATAATTTACAATTTCACTGCAAGTTGTGAACTAAGCCTCACTGCTCAGGTGAGAGTAGGATCAGATTCAGTTGTGACATGTCAAGATAATCATTTCAGTGACACCAGTCCTTTGCAAACCTTCCTATTAAACTATTCTGGTCAATGTTGGTTCCTTCTTGAGAAAATATGTACAATATGGTATTGTGATATTTTAGCAATAATTTCAATTCAATAGTGAATGTTGATGGCACGATCTGGGAGCTGCCCTGGAAGAAATAATCACTTTTGTAATTGTGAAGGAGCGGAATTAATGTGTATTGTTTTAATTTACATAATTGAAGCATATTTGGTTAATTAATGTTCTATTTATTATTATTAGTTCAGCTTCATACTGTAACAAGTGTCTAGCTTTACTTGCTGCCAGTTCAGCAAACTTGCACTGAGTAATTGCTGTTGATGTTGCGCAACAACTTGCAGTGGCTTCTTTGGCAACACCTTTCAAGCCTGTGACCTTGGCTACCAAGAGGGACAGGGATGGTAGGAGCATAGGAGCACCTCCACCTCAAGTGGTCCTTTTGACTTCAACATATGTTATGGTTCCTCAATTGCCACTGGGTCAAATTTTGCAATTCTGTCCTTTCACTGCATGCAATAGTTCAAGAAAGCAGCTCACCCTCATTTTTACAATTTATGGATGGAAATAAGTTCTGGCCTTGCCAGTCATATCCATCCCAAGAGTTAATTAAAAATAAATCTGCATTTAAACAAAATTCTTATGGGTTCATCCCCAAATGTTCGCTTCTACCCAATAGCGGAACACTTTGAACAGGATGGGTGCTTTCATCTGATATGTGGCTCAGTAGTTAGCAATGCTGCCTCAAAATGTCAGGGACTCGCTTCAATTCCAGCCTTGAATGACTGCCTGTGTGGAGTTTGCGTGTTCTCCCCATATCTGCACAGATTTGCACAGGGTGCTCAAGTTTCTTCCCACAATCCCAAAATGTTTTGTGGATCGGCTATGCTAAATTGCCTGTAGTGTCCAGGAATGTGTAGTGTCCAGGGATGTGTCGGCTATGTGGATTACCCATGGTGAAAATGCAAGGATAAGGTAGGTGGCTGGGTTTGGGTGGGATGTTCTTCAGAGGCTTGGTGTAGACTCGATGGGATGAATGGCCTGTTTCTACTCTGTAGGGATTCTATGTTTCTATGGGAATAGACTAGATAAGAATGTCCCCTTGAATTCAAATTTCTCCATCTCTGGTATAAAGCAGAAATGGACTGGATCACCAGGACCAATCATAAATACTGAGATGGAAGAAAATGAAGTTGATTACGTTTTTGGCAGCATCTGTGAAGAAAAATCAGAGTTAACGTTTCAGATCCGGTGGACCTTCCTCAGCATTCTGCAACATTACCTCTGATTTTTCTTCACAGATGTTACCAGACCTGCTGAGCTTTCTCAGCAACTTCTTTTTTGTTCCTAATTTACAGCATCTGGAGTTCTTTCCGTTTTTATTTGCTTACATTTTTATTGCTTTTGAAAATGATCTGTTCAGGAAAGGCTGTTTGGATAGGAAAGGATGGGATTGAGAAGTGTAACTCTCTTCCAGTAGGATTGTGGTGGCAAAATCCCTATAACTATTTTGGAAACAATTTGGGTATTGTGATGAGAAAGTTGTAAACCTATGGATCAATTATAGATGGAATGTCCTTGCAAACTTGACTGTGGAGAATATATGTTGATTCACTTCAGTTTTCTTTCAGTTAGTTGTAGTATGTCTCATGATAAAAGGGAGGTGCTCCATGTGTGTTGTTGGGTCTGCGATCTGTCCAACTGTCTTTTCTCTTGTTGTCCATTTGTGTTTGGAAAAAGATTGTAAATGCGTTGGTCCTTAAATTTCAACCTGTAGCTGGTGCTACGTGCTGTACATATGAACCAAACACTGTTATTACTGTAATCTGCATAATGCAGGCCCTTTAATAAATGCTGCTGAGTTAAACGTCTGCAACTATAATTGGAGGATTATTCCAGTGAAATGAAACTAACAATGCTTCATGTTATAATGATTGTAGAAGACTTTTTTTATTATTCACTCTTAGTATCTGTGTGCTGTAGCTGGCCAGCATTTATTCCCCATCCCTAGTTGTCCTTGAGAAGGTGGTGGCGAGCTGCTTTCTTGAACCACTGCAGTCCATATACTAAACTGTGCTATGAGTGTAGTAAACAAATATATCACCTTTTACCATTCAAGATCAAACTTACCTTCATGAAGTATATCCAAGCAGAGCTCACAGAGTACCTGACAGTTGCCGATAATGTACACTCTTATCTTCAGACAGCAAGGACCCATTATCTAAGCATATCATTCCCATTCTAGTCACAGAACAGTCAGATTCTTAGCATCTAAAATTTATCTGACTTGTTCTAGCTGCTGATTGGAGAATCACTCTATTGCATAACTAAAGACCTCCTTTTCAATTAGATTGCACTACACTCTAAGTATAGTTTATTCTCTTGTTCACTGTTGTAGAATAAGTATCAATCCTTAGTTCCTGCCGCAATCTTCGATTCCAATAAAAATAATGGGGAAATCTATAACCTAAAGTAAGAAAAGGTTGAGAGCAAAGACCAGTCTGTAAGAAGACCATAAAGATACTATGTATTCTCCAGGTTTAGAATTGCATTCATTCCAAAGAGAATCTATGCAATGTAAATCAAGAAAAAAGTTGAAATTGAATTTTGTGATATGTGTGTCAGGGCTTACAGGAGGCTATTTCCATTTGCCAACTGCAGTAATTCTCAGTAGAAACTGGGTAGCAGGCAAACAAAGAATTATTTTTAAAAAAGGCATCCACCTTTCTGTCTGAGGCCAGTTTGGCTTGATTTTTGAGCAACCTTCAAAGTAGGCAGCTAATTAGCCCACTGGCAAAGCCTTGTTAAAATACTGAAATTCGCTTTAAATACCATATTTAGGATTCTAATGTAATATTGGTCTCCCATTGGGCAGAGCACACACTCCATCTACTGGTGATGGTGAGTGTTGAGTAGTAGAACCTACTGCCCTGAAAGAAAAGGTAAACCTTCCTAACCAGCAATGGCCAATAATTATTGTTGGATCAAAAGGAAGTAGAAATGCCACCACCTAGCCTCTATATCACTTTCTGATATACCTTTCTTGACTCTACAAAAATATTTTCTCCTTCTGATACCTTCTTTGCAACCCACTTGACATTGCCCCTAAACCTTCAATGACTCAATTTTTTTCTTGACTCCTTAGCAGTGCTGCCAGATTTCCTACTCCACTTTGCTATTGGCTGCTACTTAAGCACAATCCAGTGTTTTTCTTCTGAAAACTGACCACAATCATTTGGACTTCCAGTGAGCTACAAAGATTGGGCAGTGAGATCACTTCACCTATCAACCCCAATTAACACCTTTGGATCTACAGTGTTAATTATCAAGTTCCTTTAGCACAGATATTAATTGGTCCAGAATAAATTAATTGACACCTTTGTTAAAATGGCAGACAAGAAAACTTAATCCATCTGTTCAAAATCTGTAGACTAATGCTGTGCTTAAGGGAATTTGAAAGCTGATTGATCTCTGCCTGGTGTGTGTCTCAAGATAAATGTTGCAAAGGGGGAAACAGTTAAGATTGGAACTGCAAGACAGATTTTATTTTATTAATTTATTTGTGGAAGTATTTGCTGATATGATGGAAGTAACAAACAAGGAGCACTGATGTGTGTAAATAAATACCTAATCAAGTTTTCTGGCATGATGACCATTTTTATTTAGTGATGCTGAAAAAAAAACTGAGCATAATAGAGTGAAAGTCACCCACTAGTCCAAGTAAAAAGCAGAAAATTCTAGAAACACAGTATCAAAACAATCTTTTGTGGGATGTTGCAAGAAGGGGATTAATGGCAGAAATTGAGCGTTGCAAAAGGACCTGATAGTCACTTGATTCAACAGGGCCTGAATGTCATCAGTCGTTGAACCTAGGGGCAAGGAATGTCTGTCTGTTTTACCTGTGAGAAAATATTTTAAGTAGAAACTTGATTGTGGGGGCATTGGGACATGCACATCTGGGTGGGGATGTCCAGGGGACTGGCTCTGGGGCTTTAGTCAGTTAAATAGCCTGAAAAGAACATGCTACCTTTTGGGTGTCAATGTTGTGATTCTTTTCCTGAAACACACTAACAATCTGGACCTTAGCATGGAGGGTGCAATTTCAAAGTTTATGAAAGCTTGATAATGACTTTGCCACAGAATAAGCCAATTCATCTCACAGCCTTGCAGAATCTTTATTTGCATCCAAATCCTCACCTCTGTCTGCTTTGAACTCTTCAGTATGGCAGTTTTTCAGTATAAGCAATGCCACTGTGATTCCTGTAGAGTATCCCAAGTGATTGAGTGACTGTTTTTATTCTCTTCTATTTCTAGGCGTATTTTTTCGAAAGGTAAGAATGATGAAACCAAAGGAATCCATTTCTTTCCTCAGCTAGCTAAGTCTTCCAGGGTACGGTGTGTAAAATGTGAGTATGTATTCCTTGAAAAGGGAAACTAATACCTGCATTTTCAGTGATGTGAGTGAATGAATGAGCGTCATTCAGAACCATTCATTTGACAAGGCTACTCATTTACCTCTTGGAAGGTAATAGTGAAACTGAACATATTGTGCAAATAAAACCATATTTTTGGCATAAATTTTCCCAATCAAACTTGATGGTCTTTTCCTTTTGATGTTACATTAATTACTGACACTTGTTCCCCTCTCCTTCAACATAACCCAGTCACTGTCATCTTCCATTATTTGGTGGAATTTTGCCTCTGGGAGGATATTGATTCAAGGTTTAGATGTAATCTCAGCAGACACTGAAGTGGTATGAGCGAGGTCTCGAAAGCCTATTCTTTGGTTTTATCTGGGGGAAAGAAAAACAGGAAATTCTTTCGTCCCTATCCACCATGCTGGGCATCTCATCAAAAAATGCAGCTTGATAACTTAGGCATGACCCACTTTTCACACATCCATTCCGGTAAGCAGTCATATGAAATAAGCAATAACTAATTTTCAGCTTTCCTTTTGTATGAAAGATAATATAGAACCGTTTAAATTATCCAAGTACATGCTGGAGGCAAGGAGTCTCGCCTGCCACTTATCCGAAAACCATGAGCACATTCCCTGTGATCTTCCAGTGTCTGACAAATGAGGTTCCTTGCCACTGGCACATTTACAAAATTTAGGTCAGTATTTTTGTAAGCAGCAAGAACAACTTACAAGGGCCACGTCTATCTGAGTTAGTAATCATCACTTACAACTGTCTTCCACAAAAATAACACCATAAGATGTTGAGGTGCATCATTAGCTGCATCCTGGAGAATTCTCCAGGATCAGAACCAGGGCAGAAAGTCTTGAGTGTGTCACACTTCAAGCAGGTTTCTGGGAAGGAAAACCGGGTGAAAAGGTGACAGATTTAAATTACGTGGAATTTACAGCACAGAAACTGGCCATTTGACCTAATTAATGTATGGTTTAAAATGCAAAGTATACCTTTTCCTGCTCCAATTATCCCCTCTCGCCTGCCTCCTCTATTGTTTTCTTTCCTATCTACACATCAATCATTCTCTTACATTTATTTAGAATTACATATAGTTTACAACCAGAGACAGTCTGTTCAGCAATAGGAAACAAGACTGCAGTTGGAGGGAGAGTTGCCTTTTCAATATAATTGAGGTGGATCAATGGACTGGCCTGAATGAGGAAAAAGGATTGAAAATGAATTGGAATGATATTCAACATCAAAGTGAGAGCTTTTTTAAGAATAGGGTACTGAGGAAAAAAATTGTTCTTTTTTTTTCAGATCTCCTAATTCAGATTTTATAATTATCCAGTGCTAAAAATCCTAGGTTTTATCAGAGGTATTGGGTGAGGTTGTTATTTGCAGATGTAAAATTACATTCTCTCCCTCGGAAATCTGAACAAGGGTGCGATTTTTTTTCTTTTCATCCAAATAGCTAATTTGAAATGTCTAAGTAGAACTAATAACTTACGTCCATGTTTAATAAACAAACATTTTTACAGCACAACAGACTAGATTCCTTTGTTTTCGCTTAAAGATGCATTATTTGGAAGATCATATCAAAGTTTGTTTTATAGAAATCTTACTCGTCAGTTGGGAATAGTTTTATTTTGTTAGGAACTAAATGTTTCTCATTGGGCTTGTCACAGCTGTCTTGATAATTATGATTGACAGGTGCCTTGGCCTAGCATGCAATTAATCTTATATAATGTTAATTAAGGAATAAATTAACTCTAGCTCCCACATAGAATGAAGTCCGATTTTGTCATTTAAGATCTGGACTGAATGAAATCGGTGAAACTTTCCTTCTGCAGAAGAAAGAATTAGTGTCCTATATGTATTGTTTGCTAAGGTACCTGACAGTTGTTGAAGGATGATTATTTTCCTGTAATTGATATTGGTTATTAAAATACTTCCTTAAGCCATCTGCTATGATTTATACGTGTCATTGTTAATGTTGCCAGTTGAGCCATGAATAATCATAAGTGTTGACTTCTCTCAGGCTGATGATTGCTTCCTGTATTAAATGAGATTTTTGTATCCATAACCACCATCTTTAGTTATTTATTATCTACCTTCAGCATGACTTATTTTGTTTGTGACATTCTGTTGTGCAAAGAAAAGATACACATTTGGTTCTGTTGAATGCATTTCCAGTTCTTTTTACAATTTGGGATTTCAGACTCTTTGAAAGGGTTGAAGATATTTCCTTCAAAGTGGTACTTATAATTATTCTCTCCTATACCTCTACTTCAAATATGGATTTCTTAGTGATTGTAGAAAACAGTAAAATGGAAGACGCTTTACTGCTCAGCATCTTTATCTTTGTTTCTCTACTTCAGTTTTTTTTAATGTTTCTTTTGCTGCAGAACGTAACCAGGTTGCCTGTTTATTTATTAGCCAGGTATAGAAACTGGGAACGTACATTTTTGGGTATATCTGGCCAAACTACCTTTTTTATATATAATCATATTGAGAAAGAAGCACATGATTGAGTACCAGAAGCATCCTTTCATGAGCTGACAAAATTTAGTTGAATTGGGCTTTAGTCTTCAGGGTCAAACGTTTTTATCAAGATCACAGCATTCCTCCCTGTGTCAACTCAATGTGATGTCCCTAATAAAAGCACACATGAAGCACAGAGAATTCATAGAGGCAGGCATTGGTTATATAGCCTTTCATGCCTGTTGGTTGGCTCATTTGGCTGTTCACCTGATTTATAACGCAGAGTAACACCAACAGCATGGTTCAGTTCCTGCACTGACTGAGATCACCATAAGTACTCTCCTTCTCAACTTCACATGAGGCATGGTGACCCTCTGTTTAAACCACCACCAGTCATCTTGCTATAATGAGAGAGCAACCAATGATCCAGAAGAACTATGGCAACTTTACCTTTACCATCCAATAAGATCATGGCCAATCTCGTGTGGTCTCAACTCCAGGTCTACTTTGCTGTCTGCACCCCATAACCCTAGACTGTCTTGTCTGTCAAAAGAAGATCTATCAAACTCAACCTTGAATGCATTTAAAGACTCTGCACCCCTTGCCTTTTGGGGATGAGAATTCTACTTTCTAATTACTGTTTTAAGAGAAAAAAAATCTCTATCAGTCTGAAAAGAGTGTCCTCTTGTTTTAAAACAAATATCCTAGTTAGCTTTAGAGATAGTAGGAACTGCCAATGCTGGAGTCAGAGTTCCTCCAGTTCCACACAGTGTTATCCTAGTTATCTTTAGTCTCCTCCACCCTGTCCAGGTTCCTCCAAACATCATGCGTTTCAATAAGATTATCTCTCAATCTTCAACATTCTCATGGATATAAGTGTAATCAGTTCAACTTTTCTAAGTAAAGCCCTTTATCACAGGTTTTCATAAGGTAAGCCCTTCATCACAGTTTACCCCAGAAAATGTGATCATTCTCTCCTGGAATGATTCCTGAAAGAAGTTCAAAATGAAACTCGTGAAGTTAGAATAAGAACATAAGAACTAGGAGCAGGAGTAGGCTGTCTGGCCCTTCGAGCCTGCTCCGCCGTTCAATAAGATCATGGCTGATCTTTTCGTGGACTGAGATCCACTTACCCGCGTTCTCACCGTATCCCTTAATTCCCTTATTGTTCAAAAAAAATCTACCTTTTTTTTAGAAACGTTTACTGAAGTAGCGTCAACTACTTCACTGGGCAAGGAATTCCATAGATTAACAACCCTCTGGGTGAAGAAATTCCTTCTCAATTCAGTCCTAAATCTGCTCCCTTTAATCTTGAGGCTATGCCCTCTTGTCCTAGCTTCATCTGCCAGTGGAAACATCCTTTTTACTTCTATCTTATCTATTCCCTTCATAATTTTATATGTTTCTATAAGATCCCCCCTCAATCTTCTGAATTCCAATGAATATAATCCCAATCTACTCAGTCTCTCCTCATAAGCCAACCCCCTCAACTCAGGAATCAACCTAGTGAACCTCCTTTGCACCCCCTCCAGTGCCAATACATCCTTTCTCAAGTAAGGAGACCAAAACTGCACACAGTACTCCAGGTGTGGCCTCACCAGCACCTTGTACAGCTGCAACATAACCTCTCTGCTTTTAATTTCAATCCCTTTAGCAATGAAGGACAAAATTCCATTTGCCTTCCTAATTACTTGTTGTACCTGCAGACCTACCTTCTGTGATTCATGCACAAGGACACCCAGGTCCCTCTGCATAGCAGCATGCTGCAACTTTTTACCATTTATGTAATAATCCTTTTTACTATTACTCCTACCAAAATGTATCACTTCACATTTATTTACATTGTATTCCATCTGCCAGACCTTTGCCCACTCACTCAATGTATCTATGTTCCTCTGCAAAGTTTCACAGTCCCCTGCACACTTTGCTTTGCCACTCATCTTAGTGTCGTCTGCAAACTTTGACACCCTACACGTGGTCCCCAACTCCAAATCATCTATATAAATTGTAAATAATTGTGGTCTCAACACCGATCCCTGAGGCACACTACTAGTCACTGACTGCCAGCTAGAATAGCACTCATTTATCCCCACTCTTTGCTTCCTGTTAGTCAACCAATCCTCTATCCATGCTAATACTTTACCCTTAATGCCATGCATCCTTATCTTATGCAGTAGCCTCTTGTGTGGCACCTTGTCGAAGGCCTTTTGGAAATCTGGGTACACCACATCCACTGGGTCCCCATTGTCCACCTCGCTCATAATGTCTTCATAGAATTCCAAAAGATTTGTCAAGCATGACCTGCCCTTCATGAACCCATGCTGCGTCTGCCCAACGGGACAATTTCTATCAAGATGCCTTGCTATTTCTTCCTTGATAATAGACTCAAGCATCTTCCCCACTACAGAGGTTAAGCTAACCGGTCTATAATTCCC